CAATAGATTCTCGTCGACTAGTTTTTCCTGCACGAGTACGAACTGAAATTGATGAATTAAGTGGATCAAACAAATCAAGGAAGCCGAACCCATTATTGTTTTTCGATTCCTTTCTTAACTTCAATGATGGTGCAAAGGTTTTCAAGCTCAGTCAACGCTTTCTTATTCTGAACAGAGAAATATAACGAATTGTACAGAGCTAAGAATTAACAATCTACTGAGGTGTCGATTCATCCCATCTGATCAGACCGAAAGCGAATGACGAGGAGAAGCATAGCCTTCAGATGTCTAGATGACTCTTGATGACACAAAGCTCAAAAATTACAAAATAATGAATATGAACAAGTGTTTATTCTTTGTTCATCCATTAGTTTGAATCAACAATTAGCAATGGAGCACATGTTATTATCCGACATACAGGATCTGCAATCAACTGCCTAGGAGTTCAACGAGGTTTTGAAGTGATTCTGGCTATTGGCCGAGTTTAAAACAGACATCTGATCCGAAACATGGAGAGAGACCTGGATTCATTCAGAATTTATCCCCGGTTGCTTCCCTACCCTGCCTGTCCAAAGAACAAAAGGTTCCATTTCATGCCAGATCGTTCAGAACGGTTCTAATCCAAGATGAACTCCCATTGGAAACTTGTGGGACAGACTACTTCATTAAGAGAGACATGAAGGTTTGAACGATAAGGAACAAGAATTCATTTTCCACAACAAACTATAACAAACCAACAGAAAGAGAGAAACAACGGGAGCAAAACAATATTTTACAAAGAAACTAAGACATTCTTGCGACCCACTCTCCTGACAAACACGTTTATAACAACGTTATGAATTGAACATTTCTGTAACCTGGATCGTACCCGATAAGTTAAGCGAAATGAAACTCACTGGTCAAAATTATATCCTAATCACAGGGTCGAGTCTCCGTCATGAAAGATCCAATGGCATAGGGTCGAGTAACATTGCCTCTAATAAAAAAAGACGACGATTTTTGGGTGTAGAGTCCCGATCTGGAAAAATCTGAGTTAGTCCGCAATTCAAAAACGAAATTATTACGAGAGACACACTTGAAAAGCATTTTCAAGTTTCCTATCACCAAGCGAATAGCCCATCGCTTTGAAAATGATGTTTTTGAAAACATCATCATACTGAAATCCCAGAGAGAATACATATAACAATCACAATTCAAATATATACTTTTGCCTGTTGCTTTGCGGTCAAATAGCATTGTGGTCGCGTTTCTGTCTCTTCTATGATTAACCAGGAGATTAGGGAGCTGGATGTTCATTTATAAAAATTAAATTAAATTGTAAATTGTAAACCTATACAATCGGATCCCGTCAGCCGAAAACGGCTCGAGGTCGAACATAGCGTTCAATGTGCTGAGCCAGCTAACACTACTTGTTACATCGTCTGGAATTATCTTGCCCCCTTTTCGGACTAAATAGCAATGTCCTAAGAAAGTGTATCAAATTTATGAAATTGATTTATGTAAGAACCTTCTCGTCTCTCCGAAGGCATCCCTTGTCGACACCCTGACCACTCATCCCAACGTAACTCTACAGCAACATTCAATTCAAGAGGAGTAGACTCGTACGTATCCCGTAACTCAGCTATGCAGTGGTCAATTGAACATTCTTTCGCAGAATCGGGATCTTTACTGATTGTGTACAATGTTTGATACTAATCGAAGTATTAGATAAAAGAAGAAATTAATAAAAAAACCTCAGACGAGCAGGCGGAAAACGAATCCGAAGAAGCTGGACATTTCTTGGGTGCATTTACTCTTGCGCCAGGAAAGAAGTGGAATTGCCAATTATGATGAGGGAAGAAAAGATTTTTCTCCACACATCCATCAGCTCAAACGTAAACATGAGTTTGAAAACTATAATCCACCCTACTGAACGCTTCACTTTCGCTTATGTGAACAGGCGGTGTCATAGCCATCAGCACATAGAAATAGCTAACTGAGCCGATGGAATCAGAATCAAAACAGAAGTAAACTCCTTGTGAGGAAGCCGAACTCTGAAGATAGACTGAATCAGATATAAGTTGCGAAAAAATGAATTACAAAGATGATTGATAGAATTCCTTCATGCTGGTAAAAAACGTTGTCAAAGGCCTTTCTCTCGCTCCTTTTGGGAGCACCTCGATAGAATGGAAAATAGTTCAAAGGTGGTTCTGCATCCTGATGATACCTGCAGAACAATGTAATTTGATCAATAAGATCTTCGGAGATGGGTAACTCACTCTTGACTTTCCTGGTACTGATAATTACCCACAATTGACCATTTTGAACTATCGGAAACAACAATTTTCTGTACAAAAATATGCTTTGAGCAGACTTTCGGTTCAGCACGCACCTGAGGATTCTCCAAGAAAGCTGGGATATCCCTAGCCCATCCCCAGTTCTTAACTTTACCGTTCAACACAAAAGCGATATCGCACATGGCACATGCCAGATCTATCTTATCCCCCGGCCAGTAATACACTGGAACTATCTACGCAGAGGGTTCAGCAATAACTTCTTGTTGTTTACTCACTTTTATATTATCATCTGAACATGCTGGCTCGTAGAAACTCTTTGCCCAATCATCCTCCAATAGAGCCTTGAATTACATATATCATTCTATTCCAATAAAGATTTCCATACTAATACATGACTTGGCAAGTTTTGTTTACTTCTAGCCTGTGCACTTGGTGCCACCAATCGCAGATCTGAATCTAACGTTATGGGAACATCGTAAAGACGGCCACTGGACCCCTCAAACAACATACATTATATAAAATAACATTTTCTGAAGTACCAAATCAAAATTGCAAAAAAGCAGAACGAGGAAGTATTGCATGCAGACTATACAGTTGCAATCAGACTTGTGTTCATTTTTCTTCTTTATCACACAATTTGAATTATGAGCATTTCAAACAAATCCAATTATGCTAATTACCTTTGCGGCGGGCTGAATTCAAAGTCATCTGAAACTGAGAAAAATAAATAAGTTAACAACACGGAGCAGTAGAACAACCGTGTCCACATACTTTCATGATGTAAATGAAGTACACGAGCTTACACGTAGTACGTGGGAATATGATAATCAGTCAAAATCTCATAGTGAGCCATATGACGTTTCATGAAAAATCTCAAGTAATGAATTGATCTGTCTGCTTACAGTACTCTTTTAAAATTTGAGAAAAGTTATTCAATTAAACGATTTTATTGGAGACGCTCAGCATACATACCATGCGACAGGAATTTATTTACTTGATATTCAAAGAATTATTTTAAATATGATTAGCCTCTTTAGGGAAAATAAAATGTTAGAAATGACAAATTCAATATGATTGTTGTAATGCATCCGTTAAAGATTTCCTTGTGGGTAAACAGTTTGCATTGTTGTTCCATCTCAACCATTCACTTTTACAGCTATGTCTTCTCATATAAAAAGGCCATCCAATACCTATCTTACCTAAACCATCCATGCAGTCTGGTCTTGTCGCCTTATTTCTGTTGTGTTTGTCCGTTATGTAAGTTCGACTGGACATACTGCCAGTATACTCAACAAGGAAGTTGCAGAGTAGTATCAGCAGCTGACAGAGATTCCAATCAGAAATTCAAAGCGTGTTGTGCTCGTCAAAGAACCGCCGACAAAGAATGCAAAAGACGTTTTTGTGATTTCCGAGCAATTAACCAAAAAAATGTAAGTCGACCATTTATGAACTTCATCACATTTTCTACATGACCGACTCTCTCATTCAAATCCATCACATCTTCTCATTCGTATAATGAACATTGAATCCTCAATAGATATTCATTTGAAATGAGAGTCATGGTTATTTCAGTTGGTTCATTATCTGAACATGTGTTCTCCTCGTCACGATACAGTTCAGCAAATGTGGGATTGTGCTTCTTCACGAGTTGATCATACTGAATGCTGCAAACAAAAGTTTGTCTTTCACATCATGTCACTATATGATCCATCTGATATTGCAGGAAAGTATCCCCAATCTGCATGCCCTATTGCGAAGCCAACAAACGCGCCCCCTCAGACTATCTGCATCACTTAACTTGTCTTCAAAACTTTGATTCGATTCGCGATTGCTTTCAGGATTATCTCAATACACATCCCAACATATTCGGTGAATAATAAAGCAGTTCCTAAAATTAGAAAGATATACAACCATACAACCGAAAAATCACATGAAACGTCCGACAAATCCGATTAAAGCGTTGCCGGTGGCCAGTTGCTGAAGACCGTTACCAGTTTCATTACCTAATACTGTGAACCACCACTAGCTTACTACCATCGTTAGCTAATAATGTTACCTTACAACTGGTTTCTGTTTTCCAGCATCATTTGAGCTGACTGGAATGAGTAGATGCCATCAAAAGGAAATCAAACTCATCCCTACCACCCAATTTCCTATCAAAATTACATTTTTCAACAAGGAAGCAAAAAGCAACATGAGACATGTGATGTTCTCATAGATGTTTGAACTACTTCTTCCAATTTAACTAAAGTTGCGCTTCGAGAAGTTCGTTGTGGGGCGGCTAGCTGGTTAGGAAATCCGCTAAGCTTGCCATTGAGCCGATTTCCTTTTGTATATCCGAAAATAGACAGGATGAGAGTATAAGAACGACGGTTTGTTCGTCTTGTTGACTCAGCTATGCTACCGTTCAAATCCTCAGCTGAAATGGTCATTTGCCATCTTGTGTACTATCCCAAACTAGGTATAGCAAAGCTGCTAAAAAACCGGTTCAAGCAAGGTATATCCGATTGACAAACCTTTTCAGGCAAAAGGGATTACAGTATAAGGTTTGTAGAAGAACAAGACGGATTGTACAGAGCTGCTGATCCTCCCGCCCATCGAGGGGATCATTGTCAGTGATCCGGTCAGTCAGACCGAATGTACTTGTGACGGTCAGGCAACTGTTCATATTAGCTTGTACGAACGTTCTTATATTTCTCTCATACGTTCTAAATTCTCCTTTTAAGGCAATAATATGTTTCTTCATTTATCAATCGCCGCACTGCTACTGATACCTGCAACAGATGCTGTAAGTAAATATCAAAATCAAAAACAAGAACAACCGCTTTCCGCTTCAAATCGAAATAAATGATTTCGACGTGACATTCACGAACACCGTATGCTAATCACACTCATTTACAGTGCATCGCGTCTGGAATATGTGGAGGTCTTGCAGGTTGTTTTCCTCCTATCCCTTCTGTGATGCCCCCTTGTGCTGGAGGAATTGGTTTGTTCTTGGCATTCTTCACTAAATTAGAGACAAACATACATTTTGACAGAAGAAATCTCTGTTTTCCCAAAAATCCCAAAAAACATCGATTGTGCTCTTTAAAAAAAACAAATTATGTTTATAAGAGTGTCGCTTTTCTCGTAAACATGGTTGGATATTGCAGGGTGTGGTCCTGGTTATGCTTGTGGAGCATTTGGATGCTTCCGAATGAGAGCTCGAACACACGGAGCTGGTACACTTAGAATGGCTGGAGAGAACCGAGGTCCCATACTAATGGGAGCTGATAGATTTTCGCAATTCCGTCGACCTGAGCCTAAGGTATGATAATAAGGAGGAAAAGTGAAAACTATCAGACGATGTTTATCTAACCGGCAAACATTCAGATCTTAAATGAGGGGTCATATTTGGTCCACATTTAAGAAATTCATATTTGACATCGAAAACTGTAACATCCCATGTAAACGTCATTCCTTCAGTCGACCGAACCGAATGTATAAAAACTCAGAATGGCTTTTCCTCAAACTAGTAATCATCTGTCATAGTCAAACCTGTTTCGAGAAGGGAGATTTTCATTTTTTGAGGCCTAGAGAGCTGTTCCGAAGATAACGAGAGAGCGGGGAAAGAGGATCCTAAACGAGCACCATATACCATTTGAAATGGAATATGGAATGAAGAGTATATAATTATATCTTTTTTTCCGGAGATCGTTTTGTTTTAATTTGCATAATTTTCCTTTTCAGGACCCAAATGCTATGTTCATGGCTTGTTGTGAACAGAGAGGCTTACCAGATGCATGTCTTCAGAAGTGCAGTTTTAACACTTACACAAAACAATCAGTATGTATTATCTCCTTTCCACTCTTGGCAAACATGTCCTTTTTTCCCAGCTTACTCGGATGTACTTTAAACAAGATGCATGTCCTCTATCCGCTAGCGCGGAAATACAATTCTGTGCGGCTCAAGGTCGAGACCATACAGCCTGTTGCGCCCGGAATGGTGTTACAACTACCTTAGCAGGAGACAAAGTGAGTAGCTAAATCAAAGCTCAAAACGTTCAAGTTTTAAATGCTCTCTGAACTCCTCATTCAAATATTTCAGTGTTTGACTTTCTGCGATCAACGACCAGGCAACGTCACTCTTCTTGACTTCTCGTACGTAGCTTGTTATGACCGTTTTGAAAACATGAAAGCTTGTTTCTGGCATGATGCCGTTGAAAGACTTCAAAAATAGAAGTTCTTCATATCTAGGGCCTTCTTCTAGGAATATTCATCCTAAATGTTCTCACTTATCATGTGCTCTGAACTTGCTTTCGAGCTGTCTTTCATATCAGCCCCTCGGGTCTCTCTCTTGCTTCTTGCACCATTCAGAAAAAACAGATGACCCAACTTCTGAAATTTACTTAAAATTTTCTTCTGTTTGTACATGATTGTTGTTATCTGATAGTCATCATCACATTATCGTCGAGACGTTGTTAACACGTAAAGCCTTTCCTTAAATTAATTCGTGTCAATAAATTATTTTACCTTATTGGGGGTCAATACAATTCGACAATGAAATTATAATCGATTCATGCCATTACGCAGTCTTCCACCATTCAACTCCTCCACTATCTTTGTTCTCCCATAAATGCTTCGAATTACCGGAAAAGTCTTTTCAAAAACTCTAACCTCACACCCTTTGAGTCTTTTTTCTTATACTTCAGGCCTTTCTCCTATTAGGAAACACGTGAGGCACCATTGCTGCCTCTCCATCCCGTCTGAAATCTAATTTGAAGACCCAAACTACGGAAATACCTTCTTTGATTGTCGTTTTGAGCATCTTCTTTCTTTTTTTCCTTCCTCCTTCTTTTTATTCTCTGACTTCTCTTTTTTCTCAAACAATTACTCCGACAACCCCATATCCAAGCACAAAGCAATCAACACATAAGGCGTCAGAAGATGTCAGATGCAACGTCCGCTATGCTCCCATCGGACTGCCCTCCCCCATCCCTTTCAAAACAATTTTTTTTTCTTCATCTTTCACTTTATGAATTATTTCCTCTCGCGTGTTGAACCACAAACCACGTTTCTCTTATTGTCATCTTCTTCAGATGATGCACAGTACCGAAGATATCTCTGCCGCAGTTGCTGATCGGTAATTTTTTTTTTACTTCCTTGTTCATTATTCTTTTTTGTCAGCAAGGCAGAACTCGCGGATTGCCGTAGAACTCCGAAACTTAAAAAAGTCAAAGATAACATTCGAAAGCAATGGAAAGGCTTGAAGGTGCCTCGAAAACAAACTCGATTCAGTCATTTCTGACATATTTCAGACAATTTTTCGATCTTCGTCATGTAGCGATATTGAGCTTCAAACAATGACTATTCCTAGAGCAACACCTATCACTTCCAGTGATTTCAATATATGCGATGACTGCGCGCAGTATCTAAAACATGAACATGGTTAGTTGAAACAAGTAGCTTCACTCACTACCAACTATACAATTTGTAGGAAGACGCAGCCTTATCCGCCAACGCATGATCTTCCGCTCAATTCAAGTTGGCAATGAATCTCCCATTATTCTCAAAGAGCTACTTCCTTGTGAAAGGTATTTTTTCTTTTTTTTTCTCAATTTCCGGCGGAATTGAGCTTTCCCGTCCGCTACTTGCCCTTTAAGAAAAAAAAGAAGGAAACGCTTTATGAAGAAAACACAAAAAGTGAAAAACATCGAATGCAACCCTTCCGAGAGTCCAAACAGAATAAATGTTGAATGCAACCGCTCTTGCACGAGGTTAAACCATAATAATAAATCTTGAAACTTTTCCAAAAAGTTGCCGACAACCGCTTGCCAGGGTGCAACAGTAAGAAATGAAGTTCATTCTGTAGCGAGCGGGAAATTCAAATTACATAATTCGAACATCCGGTCCATGATCCCATTTTAGACTTTTATTCAAATTAATATTATTGTTTTAATAATGTTTTCAGATGTACACCGGCAGAAGACATGAAATATCACAAGTTTGAAGCGACTGCACCGGAAATAATCAAAGTGAAGAAGAAGATGTCTACTTTACCAAAGGTTAGGACTTATATAGAAACGTTTTCATGTTTTGGTTTTAGGATGTGGATTTGTTACAAGAATTTTCCCGCATCGAAGTGGAGAAGACACAAGGACAATGTATAATTCGAAGCAATAACTATAAAATAGAAAACCTTCACTTATAAAAATAAATAAAATACATGCCATTTGGAATAATACAAACCCGTATATGTATATCACAACCTCGAATGTTATTTTCAAAGAACAAGAACTTGCGCTATATCGTCATGTTCATATGTCCGCTTCATGTTAGAGTCGATTAGCCGAATCCCTCCTATTGCCTGTAAATATCATTTTGCAAATATTAATAAATGAACAGATTTCACCTGAAAACCAGCAGCCACAGGTAGAATTTCTAATGAGAATGGGAAAGAAGCATTTGGAGGTAATTGACCCAGTGATAACCCTGATACAGAGCAGAACACATAAGTTGAGAGAGAGTTTTGTTGCAGAGCAAGAGTGAGGTCAAGAGCTCGCTCACTGTAATGAAGTTTAATATTAAATACTTTTTGAATCTAAGAAAACCTGCAGTTGTAAACTCGGCATTTCAATTTGAATAGTTCGCGAACGTTAACTGTCGCAGGTAGCTCTTCAACTGCCAATCTAACATCTCCGTATCCCGGCGCCTGGGTATCAACAATATATTTTCAGGTAGGTTTTGCTGTACTTACGATTCTCTGAAGGGAACTTGTTTGTAACCTTCCTTTCTCGCCCATGCTTGTCCGCCATGACATATCGAGTTTTCCGATTACGGTCATGTCTTTGTAGCTGGAGAAAGAACTTGATCATTAACTGTCCTATCATAATATAGACATACCAAGCCAAGTTTTGGTTCTTCCGGTTTGAAAGACAAAACAGAAATTGCCGAATGTCACTAGGTCTTAACAACTTTGAACTTTTGTCCTGTTCGGCAAAACTGAAATGAAAGATCAACCGTTTTGAGAACAGCTTAGTATTGGTTGATACCTGGGCCGTATCGGCGTAACTTCATAATACGCACTTGGGTCTAACTCAACCTTTTCCAGAATCATAGGAAGACCTGATGTGTTTTCTATTTGGGCTTCCAAGTATACGTCATTGTTCTGTAAAGAAGTATGAGTTTGCAATTCGTTAAGCACACTCACCGAACTATCCTAAAAACAAAAGTCTAGTACTATCGGTAGCAGTATGGTAGAACATGCAAAAGCAAAATATCACACACGATAAAAAAATCACTCCTAACGTAAAGGTGGGTCGACGCACACGACACACACGACAACCAAGGCCTTGTTCGGAGTCATACAAACCTCAGTATTATAGAACTTGGTCTTAACGTCGATAGGCTTTGTTACTGGGAACTTGAAGAATTTCCTGAAGTACATCTTCTCGGCGCCAACGGTTTTATAATTTACGGAACAAATGACGCTGGAATATGTAAATGTCACACAGTTACACATTCGATTCTTACATGTGCTGCCCCAGTTCTTTGATTTCATGGCTCAGCACCTGGCCTATGGCTTCCCCAGCTTCAAGTGACTTGTCTTCCAAAGAGCAGGACAGAGAAACTCGTTGACTGTTGGTTTGTAATTCGCACTGCAAGGATTCATACTCCTCAGTTACGGAAGAGCCAAGAGCATACCGTCACCGAGACATCCGTAACTCTTTGATCACTCTCATTTACACAATGTACATAGAAGGAGAATGTTTCTCCCAAATAGACGTTCCTGCAAGCAAATAGTGTAGGGTATGATTCACGACTTTGCAACTCATACTCAAACATGTGTGGAACAACAACGTAATCGGTGAGAGTAGCTTCTTTGATTTTTTCGTTCTTAATAACTTCCTGGGATGACTCATAATGTTTAGAAAGGCCTTCAGGATCGTTAGGATCAAAGAACAAGGGAGGAGTATTAAGTTTATGTCTGCCCAATCGCATAACTGAAATGATGAGAGTAGGTTGAGAGAGAGAGATGAAGCTTCTGAGGCGAACCTTTAAGAAGCAGAAGCTGTTGATTAGAAGATCCCAAAGAGTCAGTCATTCTATAAGAGTTCTAAGCTAAGCTACTGATGTATGATTTGTGTGAGGATGAATAAGTGATTGGGTCATTACCCGGCAAAGGAAAAAAGAGAGCTGTGGTTCAACAATTTTATTTTTAATGGTTGTTAACAACATGAACCCAAATAACAAATCTTGCGATGACCATGTTTGAAATTTCGTTATGAAATTTGGGGTATTAGAAAATAACAATAGACTAACAAATTTATTAGCCGTCAAGATCTTAAAATATCTGATACAAACAAAAATCATCAACGAAAACAACAGAAACATGCGAGGGAGTGCGGGCTACACATTGAAAACGGATGAAACGAGATACGTGGAAACCAACGATAACAAATGTAAGCAGGATTGAGCACTCCCACTTCACTAATTACGTAAAGAATTTGATAAACGAGACATAACTTTAGGCTTTCTCTTCAGCCTTAGCCTCGTTCTTAGAAGCTTCATCAAAGTCTCCAACGAGATCTGAAACACAGTTATTCAAATTGCATCATCATACTATCAATACATACCAGGTACATCTTCATCTTCACCAGTCTTGTATTGGCTAGTGACATTGTTAGCCAACTTCTTCAAGTGAGTGAGGGACTCAGGGCCGAGTTGGTTGAGAATTCCAGGAAGCATATCGGTGATTTCTGAAAAAAAGATTACTCTATATTTTTCTACTACGATAACTCCAGCTTACGCTTGTTCTCGGCTCCTCCGGTGATGGAGAAAGTGTTAGCTGGTACTGAAGCTTGAACCTTAGGGTTGTTGAAGTGGATAACAGTTCCGTCATCCTTGATCATGTTAACCTACAAATTACAAAAATAACAGAAAGCCCAAAATACTATATGTTCACCTCCTCAATTCCTGGGATGTTGGTTACGGAAAGCTTCTTGAGGTTACTCTGGAGCTTCTTGTCATCAGCAGCAGCGGTCTTGTGGATAACCTTTCTCTTTCTTCTTGGCACTCCCTACAATACAAAACTGTCAATCAAACATTAATATCCTTGATAAGTACCTTTCCACCGATCTTAACAAGCTCGGCATTAGCCTGGAGCTTCTTAATTTTGTCAGCAACAGCTTTGCTGTCCATTTCCCCAAACTGTAAGAGATTATATGAATAAAAAATTTATCTGAGCTCCACAGGGGAGTAAATGACTAAAAAAAATTTTGCAACAAAAATAATGATGAAAGAAAACATCGGAAAAGTGAAAACATTCTTTACCCACTAGCGAGACATAGCAACATAAGGGGCAGCCAAGCAGCCTTTAGATTTTGCTATAGGCGTAGGGCTGCTACGCAGCGCGAGCGTTGCCAAGAATCGTGACGTCACGTAGTTAATGTCAGCTGATTCAGCAACGGTTTGGGGTTAGATATAAACCAGGAGACGTAGTTCTCAGCTATTGAGGTTCACAAACTATTCGGAAGAAGTATGTTCGGCTTTCAGCTGAATCATAGCTTTCTACGTGCAGCTTCAGTGCCTTCAACACAATATTGATTTTATTGACGGCAAGAAAACGTGGTCTAATAGACTGCTCATAACAACCTGATGTTGCATCGATTTGAAGAAACGTTGTAGTTTGTTTCTCCAATTACCTTGAATGTACACACTCCAACTTTCTCCTGCTATCAAATTTTATCTTTTTCATGTTCTTTTACACCAAGCGCATAGTTGTCATCGATTACGCGCCTGAAGCTTGCATTCATGACTCAGATCTCACATTTTGTCTCCATCATGTCTTTCTCAACTAATTTCTACTTATTTTAGAGAGTATGGGGCTTTTTGGAAATGTTTTCGGCAAAAAGCAAGAGCCTGCCCCAACTACCCAAGATGCTATTCAGAAGCTGAGGGAGCAAGAGGAGATGCTCATCAAGAAGCAGGACTTCTTAGAGAAGAAATGTCAAGAGGTGAGGCACAGCTGACTGTTCGTTCTTCTTATATTCGTATTTAAAGGAAGTTAGTAATGCTCGACAACATGGAACTAAGAATAAAAGGTTAGCCTTGCAAGCTTTAACAAGAAAGAAGCAGCATGAAAAGCAACTGAAGCACATTGATGGAGTTCTCCAAACTATTGAGTTCCAGGTATTGTTACTAGATTGACTTTGTGATACATCGATCGTATTTACAGAGAGAAGCCTTAGAGAACGCTTCTATGAACGCCGAAGTTTTGAACGTTATGGGTAGTGCCAGTAAGGCTCTCAAAGCCGCTCACAATAATATGGATATTGATAAGGTTTGTATTATCATATGTGTTCAGTGACTCATGTTGATTCATGTTCAGGTGCACGATCTCATGGAAGACATTGCTGAACAGCAAGATGTTGCGAATGAGATTGCTGAGGCTATCTCAAGCGCCCCTGGCTTTGACAGAGGCATTGATGAAGATGAATTGATGGCCGAGCTAGAGGCGCTCGAACAAGAAGAACTCGACAAACAATTGCTCGATATCAACCAACCACCTGTGGTCTCCCTTCCAGAGGTTCCATCCAGTGATCTTCCTTCAACGAGTAAAGCCAAGGCCGCTCATGATAAGGTACGCGTAGCAGTATAAAAAAGATTTCAACTCACATTTCCAGGATCTCGATGACTTGGAACAGTGGGCCAGCGCTTAATCTGACTTCTATAAGTAAGAAACTTTTTATTGGATTTCATCTTCATGACGGCTAGTTTTCGTCCTTCATTGTGATATATTTGTATTTTTTTTGGCCATGTTCTCTTATACCACCAGCTTTTTGTCCCAGCTCTCAAGACTATGCGCTCATTGCGAGAAAATGAAAACTTGTCTCCTATTCTTTTAAATTTTTAATTTAAGAATTTGAAAATTTTGCAAGGTCTCTGTATCTGGAGGTGAGCCTGCAGTTAATCATCATATCAGGTTGATCTTCTCTTTGTAGCAGTTGCACGTGTAACGTAATAGGAAGTTAACACTCTCCATATTCCTTCGAACATTGTTTGACCTTCCCATTACGTTACACGAGAAAGCAAAAAAAAGATGAAGCTGAATGATGCAAAACATAGAAGTGGGTACCTCATTTTCAAGCTGAGAGTTCAATGGTCACAGTCCTGTTGAATTCCCATAAGCCCGTTTACTCAACTAACATACATGGTCGACGCTTTTTCAACTTAGTGCGCATAGTTTCGTCTGCTGGCTGTATAAGAGATCATTGTCGTTTTTTTCTTTTCTACTTGAACATTTGAGACCTGAGGGATCGCTAACCTGTAAATAACGTGAATGAATTTTCCCTAGTTATTCACTATCCTCTCAGAATAGTTTTAATTTCCATGAATACTAGTTAGGTGAGCAATACGGGATTTTTGTTGGGACTCTAACTGCAGAGTGCCATTTCTCCTCATTTTCTGATTCTTCTACTCCGTACAGCTTTTTCGTCTGATTTTCGTTTTACTTCTAGCACACTACGTATGATTTCTTCTTCTCCCTTTAGTAGGACGGTTGCTTTCCGCTGTGAACTGACTAAATAATTTAAATATTAAATTTTATAAGTATTAATGTCTTCGACAATATATACAAGGTAAAAACAGGCATATGTATCAGATTGTGATAGGGAAACTGGAGATGAACGATGTTGCAACTCAGTTCCTGAAAGCTTTCATCATTTTGTTGCTCATAGTTTTAGCTTTCTCGTGTGTCTCCGTCCTCTTTAACTTTATAATTTCCTTTTCCGATTGTACTAGATCCTTGCTCTCTGGATGAACTCTGAGCAGAGTATCAAGATCGTTTTCCGCCTAAACAAAGATTTTTAGGATTTTTCTCGACTCCTTATCTACCTCGTCCAATTTCCAAGTTGCTATATAGGCCTTTGCTCTTCTATATAATGCTTTTTCATTGGTTTCCTCACGGTTCAATACTTCCGTAGCTGCGCCTACAGCTTCATACGCGTTATCAGTCATGAGATAGCATAGTGATAAATTTAAAAATAATAAAATATTCTGAAATGAGCGCTTTATGTGGGAACGAAAAGTTGGAGCACTTTGTTGTCCAGTTCGTCCCACTCGGGTTCCCCCGGTTTCTCTCGGAGTAATAATGTATCTAAACGGTGTAGAGCCTCCTTATATTTGATTATTGCTTGGTCCAGGTTTTTCTGTAATGGAAATGGTGAAACTCTGACACTGACTACGATATCACCTCTTTGAACAAGTCATTCCCTTGCTGACGCAGTTTCTCAACCGATTCTAACTTTTCTTCGCAAGAGAGTTGCCAACTCTCTGCTTCATATTCGTGTGGAGCATACACTTCCAGAAGATGAAAAATGAATCTAATAACACATGGTTTTCTCATGAGTTCATCTAGTTCTACGTATCCCATTCTGGAAGAAACGTCCTCAGTTCATATCTTATCAATGCCACTTACCCTTGCACCAGAGATGCCGCACACATGCCTGAAGCATGGTGATGGTGACCATCTTTCTTATCTGCTGGTCTGACTGTATCTCTTAATTTCTTAGAAACTAGAGGGAATGTAACGGTTTCCGAGGGAGCAGCGTCAAATTGAGCAATCTGTTATTTCGAGATTGAATTTGGAAAACTGTCAAAGCTTATCACTTCATCAACAAGCATGGTTTCTAGACATCTCTCGAAAAGAGGCAATTGGAACTTCTTTCCAAAGATCAATTCCAAAGGTTTTCCATACCCCTTGGGCCATTTCTGCTTTGTGTCATCTATCACTTTATAATTTTCTCTGGAAGTTTAACAATGAGGTTTGAGAGGAGATATATGACGTTACGGAGTCAAGGGGGCATTTGGATCTTCTGCTACGACAGCTTGGTAGTTGAAGATAGCTTTAGTTCCTGAACGAAATGGTACAGCACATTGTATATAAAGATAGACGAACCATTTGAGAAATTGATAACAGGTCCTCGTCCAGCCGAAACGGTTTTCTTCACCACTTTGAGGTCATCCATTAAGAAGCAGCCAACCAAGCTGGAAAATTGATTATTGATGAGAATTGGGTAAGAGTAAACAAGTGAGGAAATAAACAACAGGACGGAACCTTTGTTATAGTCGAAAGAGAAAAGTATAAAATAATATTTATTGCTAAGAGAACAGGTAAGATCTTCAGAGTTTAAGACTAGCTGATGACTGAGCATTGGTGAGGAGAAAAAACATAAAGTACATATAAATACAAATCCTAAAACGTTATAAAATAACTTCGAACTGAAGAAGTGTTATTATGTCTCAAGTATTCGTGATATGAGAAGTAAGAGAACATTCAGAGAGATTGGGGAAGAGAAAGACTGCTAACGAAGATTATCCGGCCATTCTGGAATATAATACCTGCAAAAGGAGATTGTAAGTAAAGGCATAACAACAATGGCTTCTCTACCTTCTAACAGTTCCCTCTAGTAGTTGATCAATCCATGAAGAGAATTCACTCAGGACGATCTCAGGATCAGTTGAGGCTAACTCATGCATACGCTTCTGCAACAAGTAATCAAAGGATGGTCGCATCACTACTTACGATTCCTTACCCTCAACATGGTCTTCTGGTTGTTCTCCTCATAATCATCAAATATATCGGCAAAATATTCGGATTCACTATAATCCCAATCCGTATCATGCATCGGATGGTATATACAATAATACAATTTCCATCCGCATAATGAAAGGACGGTTCCAACAACACGGTTGGATTCAATTTTCTGTAACACTGATTGTCAGAAGAGATTTCAACCATCTTTCCTACTTTAAGACGGTCCACGCAGTGAGTCTCGTTGTAACCGTCTGGGATTATGAGCTTCAATAAGCTTACAAACCACTCCAAATTCTTGTTTACCATTAAATAACCGAATGAAAAAGTTTTGTTGCTGGAAAAATGATTATCTTCAAGGCTTGCAAGAGCGCCACAAACTTTCTGAGCGGATAAACGGCCTCAGCGAAAATAGGTAAAAGCTGGTCTTTCGTACTTTCGTCCACCAATACAATTAAGGATCGACATCCAGGCTTCAATAAGCGGATCATTCCAAAATAACTCTCTGCCCTAAGCTCGTGTATTGAAGGCGACATATATCGGAGATATCTGGCTCGCCGAGAAGCGACTGCGTCTGGATGTAATTGAGGATCATCTGGATGCCAGTCTTCAGGGTATGTTCTGACTTTCTTCTGTAAGATATAAATCATTGTAAGAAGCTTTATACTGATCTATTCAAACCCTATATTTGACGTCTTGGTTCATGTAATTCAATCCATACCCAATAAGTAGAATGACTACCAGAGTGGCAACGCCGGATAAGAGGGGATAAGCCTCTTCCTTTAAGATATGAATTTGCATCTTGTTATTACATCTAATACATACCTTGGAGAGATAATACCAGGTGGATTCTATCATTCTCACGAATGTTCGACATCCTCTTGTCCACCAAGAAAGAGCAAACTCGTCTTTCTGGAAGAATATAGCTTAATCCTTTAGCCTCTAGGGAACTACTCACCAAATTAGAAACATGGCACTCTTCAGACAATTTGATTCTCTGAGTGAGAATCTCAACAAAAACTTTATTGAGCGTATCTTCAACACCATTCCAAATGGAGGGCAACCATACGAATCGAGCCTTCACATGCTCAGTTCGCCAAATGACTAGAATATCCCTGGCAGTTGGAGACTAAAGAAACATTTTATTGAAGAAAGCCGGAATGAACAAACCACTTGTTCAGGTCCTCGTTTCTCAATGAATGGTCTCAACCATTCGGACTGCTTATTGGCATAAATATATACAAGGCGCAACTTCAAGGACACAACATTACGAAACCTCAAGAGCATTGTCACTTACTTTCATTTGGCTCCATCTATTGTAACTGTTAATGGCATAAGTTCTCCAAGAGTCAACAAAATCTTTTTCTTCTTCAGTATCAAATACAGGAAGAATGGCACACAGATTCCTGGGGTTTCGAGAGCTGACAGGGCAGATCTCATCGAAGTAATCCATGGAAGATAGCTATAAGAGGAGAATGAACGAACGCTACAAGAAAACAACTCACCCTGGGTAAAGCTAAGAACTTGTTAGTTTCAATCAAACTATGCAGACTCTCCACGGTTAGTTGATTGATATTGGAGATGGACAATCGAGAGACAGGTCCATTCTACAGAGAAGCAGATAAGAAACGGAGGAAAAAGTAAAAAACCTCGGGTGTATCGTTGAAAATTAAAACATTTTCACAATCTTTACATTTGATGGACAATGCGTTCCTCAATGAATCAACCTGAACAAGCGAATGTGAGAACAGTCGATGCTAGTAAGAACGCTTACTTCTTCCGTATTGGCAGCATTATGAACATAACCAAATTTGGCGAACGCGGAATATTTCATGGCCGTGAGGAGATAACGCAATCTCGGCTCTGAGGCAGCACCGACAATAAGAATCGAAACCTTAGGAAAAGCCGTTCAAGCTTAGGGATATCTTAGATCGCAAACCTTATTTGTAGCAGTCCAAGTGTCAACAAAGCGGCGAAGACTGCCATGATTGTTGATTTTTTCAAAGTAAGTATTAGGAATTATATCCCTGGCAAACACCCGAACTTTTCTGAAGGGAGAGGTCCAATAGACAAGCACTGATTATGAATACTCACTTGGCTGTTATGGTCATAGCATTCTCTCGGAAAGGAATGACTCTTCCCTCTACAACAGCCACGATTTGAGGTAATTGAGTCACTCGCAGTTTTTCGAGCAAATTTCCATCGGTGAACGCATTTACTGATCCGATTCCATAACCTTAAACAAACACGAATTACAAAGAAGTCGCTGTCGCCGAGAAATGAAAACAGTCCACGCGGGAAAGGAAAGTTTATTTTCTCTGTGCGGCTCATGTGACCGGTTGCTCTCCTTTCGCTGCTCTTATTATATATTTTCAACGTTTCATATTTTAGGTTGCATAAGGAGAAATGACTGACCTAATGGTTCCAAGTCTTCAGTGACCGATTTCCATTGATCCAACAACCGGAAGCACATATGGCAGTAATTTGAATAAGCAAAAAACAAAAAAGGTTGCTGATGGCTTCTTTAATAATGGTATAAACGATGGAAAGATTGAAGTAATAGCTCACCTGCCTAATATCGTATGCATGTATTGCTTCAACGATACTCTTTGCTTGTTGAAAAAGCTTTCTTCGCTTCCACCGAACTGCAACTCGAGATTCAACTCAATCACATTAAGCTCTTAAACTCACGAATTGATCAAAACCTCCATAGTGATGATAATCAGGCATAGGCGAATCATCGAAGGTTCCAAACTTGTCATATCTCTCTTTCTTCAGAGGATCAGATAAAAGCTCGTAAGATTTTGAGATCGCAACGAATTTCTCTTGGGCATCCGGGTCTTCGTTCTTATCAGGATGCCTTAACCCCACGATAATTGATAAAATGAATGAGAAATACGCACCATTCTCTAGCTAAAGCTTTATAAGCTCTTTTGATATCTTTTTGAGTGGATTTTCTCGTTAATCCGAGAATTTTATAAGGATCTTGAAGAGTTTCACATGTCACATACAATATCAGCAGAAATGCAATAAAAAACCGGAAAAGCTTCATTCCGATGCTTTCTGCAGTTCAATTACCTGAATTCAATCAGTTACTACTTTAGGAATATGAAAAGCTTAAGGCAAAGGATATACATGAAAATATTTGATGCTTATAAATCTTTATTGATCAGCCTGAAGAACTGAATTTTTAAAGGTCTGAGAGGCTTTGGCAGTAGAGCAAACAATGCTTAAAGAGTAGGCACCAGGAACAGCAGTTGTGCTCAAACATGTTAGAAATGACTCGTATGATTTTAATTATTATATTCCTATTAGGATTCAAATAGTAAACATTGTGAAATAATCGAATATGAAAAACAACGATAAAACTAATCTACAGCTGCATGTTTAACGGCGTCTTGTCCCGCCATATCCTGAGAAAGCACAAAACTCATGAGCTTCATCAACAAATAACGAACCTGATGAACTTTCCATTTCCGTTGTAGCAGTTGAACTTCCGAACGAATCCGAAGCGTAATGAGAATCTTGACTCCTCGATGTTTGCCTACTTCTTTGTCTTAAAGTTTAGAGAAGTGACATGGAGCAGCTGTTGTACTTACTGATTGCCTTGACTGCGACCATACAGATATCCTCCTAAAGCTCCTAATCCTGTTCCTGTCCAAAATCCTGGACCAGCATTAGCATCAGCATTAGCATTTGGAGATCGAGTGTGTGTATTTGTCTTTTTTCCAAAAACATCGTCGTAACCAGGAGGAGGTCCAGGATGATCGTTTGGAGGGTAACCAGGGCCGGGATTGGATCCACCACCATTTCCTACAATAAAAAAAACTAATAGGCATAGGTATAAACTGAAAGAACCTGGGAAGTTCTCACGAACTCCTCTGGCACAGGTGATATAGAAGATGAAGACAATGAAAGCAAGAACTATGTAAGGCACGACATCTTCCATCAATCTTAAATGAAGATGAATGATTTCGATGACAACCAAAGATAAACGAACGAAGTCGCGTGTTTCGTCTTTCGATTATTGTAATCCTTCTCGGCATAGTTGTCCGCACGATGTTCCAACTTGTATTCCAGCTGAAATCGAAAATTACAGAAACATAGGCTGTGGTGAACATACACCACATGAGCCTGCAAGGATGAAACGGTCTTCGGGATAGTCGTAACCTTCACAAGTAACTGTTACCTACAATAAGAACTGTGCATTGATTGAAAAACAAGGCAAACCAACCTCTCCAAATTCTAAGTCACGTGGTAAGTCAGCAGTACATCGCCATTGGTAATCCAAACCATCATGGCCCGTTTGGAAACATTGAACTACTTTGGGAGCGAATTCACCTCTAGCTGAGCCGCCAACGCAGTTCAGTTGGGGAATGGGACTGTTTCTTCTACCCAAAACAATAAGAGAGTGAAACCCCCCACGAGGAAAAAATGGAAACCTGTTGTTGACTGTCCTTTCTTCAACGTTAACGTTTTTACATTTTCAAGGAGAACCTTTTGGTGACAATCTGTGAGTTGTGAATATCGTTGGCTTAAAATCGAATGAAACCCTTACCAATGTGATCAATGAGGAAAGAAATGAAAATCAATAATAATATCCGCCTTCTCATGACTGAAATAATAAAATGAATGAAAAGGCAAAAGGAATGTAATGAGTGAATAACAAGAATCGAAGAGAGGCACAACGACCTCGTCCATTGCTGACGTAATTGGTACACGTCGACTAAACTATTTCAAAACATCAATGCTACTCTCGATGTTTACAAATCTTCCGTGACAGGAAAAAGCATATCAATGGAGAAGTGTTGAGAGAGTCGCAAATTCCGTAAAATTAAGCAACCGACGTCGTTTCTTTTCAATCCCACGCTCCCCTTCACCTTCATGTTAACAGTTGTCGGAGAAAAATCTTCAGGAGAATGCTTGGCTTATATGCTTGTTTCTTTTTCAATTTTTTTTCCTCATCATCCACCATGGAAGCTTGGGCATTGAAAAACTTTGTCCATAATTTATGGACTCTTTTGGAAAATGGTCTTCTGTTACCAAGAGACAACCTCAGTTGCCGCAATGACTCGCTTCCCAAATAGCCTCTTCTTCAGCTTCTTCTTCATCTTGATAACTTTCAAAGGTATCAATGCATCCCTGATGCAATTATCATTTTTTCTGCTTCAGATGAAGCCAATGCATTGGAGTGTCATGTATGTGCTGGAGCAGAATCAGCACCATCCTTCAATGCTGTGAACATATTGGAAACTTTGAACATTTCAAGCTTCCCTGTTCGGGTAACATTCAAACATGAACTACTTTCAAACATTTCGTTTACAGGGAGATTGCAAAGATAAAAGCTCTTCAAATATTTGCACGAATGGATTGTTCTGCACCAAACAAGCAGGTAAATGATCCCTTAAGGAAAACTATCAAAAAAACATTTATTCAGTCATATACTCAATTGAATATAACAGTCTTAGTCTGAAATGGACAACATTTGAAAAGGTAAATGCCATCGTCTAATCTTCTGCATATCTTCTGATCTGTAGGGTTGTTACGTTGAAAGTCAGGGTTCCACCAGTCCTTCCAAAGGTTGTACGGATGGTGCGACGACTACTCATGAAGGATACAAAAAGGTTCGATGACTCTACATGGAAGCAACTAAAACTCTCTTGCTTTACAGACTCTACGCAACTGCTATTGCGACAAGGACTTCTGCAATGCCGACAGCTTCATAACGATTTCAACATCAATCTCAATGGCTTTATTGGCTTTCCTTATAAGTTCTTAATATCCGCAAGTAATCACTGTATGTGTGTGTGTGTGTCTGTACTACTAATGACTATGGGGATGATATTCAATGGCTGTATTTGGGTTTAAATGACGTCTATTCGAAAGATATTGTTCGTATCTGAATGAGCGACAAGAATAAAACGCTTCTCCAATGTTCTTCTTACCTTTTTTGGACATACAACATGGCATAATACGTTATTAGATATCCTATGAGCATAGCGACGAACGTGATTGAAACAAGAACGACACAAATGAATCCATCTGAATTATTAAACGAGTCAGTAAAGCTTAAGTGTGAAGCTTCTCAACCCAACAACTCCAACTTGAAGCTGTTAGAAGTGAGAGAAGGAAGAAAGCCCAATTGGCTCATAAATAAAAAATGTTATTAACCATTTTCATATCCTATTACGGCCATGAACCATCAGAGAGACGTCCACTCGAAAATGGTGTGTTTGTTAGGAAATGTCGCTCTTTTGTATTTGTGTTGAAGATATGACTATGGTCGATTCGAACCGAAAAACAACGCGAAGACAGAAAAATAGAACTTTTTACTATTCTCGACATTCTAATAAAATATAAAATAACAAATGTCTGGAAAAGTCATCACACAGACTATGATATGAGAAAAGAGATGGGGTGGGGCAAGTTTTACCAGGTTTTGATGATGGTAGTGGGGGAGATCAGAAGAAGAGAGAGAGAGAGAGAGTGAGTACAATAACAAATTCTGAACAACTTGAAGCCATTGAATGAGGATTCGATGGCTGCTGAGGTCACTGGGATAAAACTTTTTGAAAGAATGTACAAGGTATAAATAAGGAATCACTTGGTAAAAGACTAGAGTGTACATGTAAAGGCTGAAGTAGAAAAGAAGAGAACACACCGATATCCGATCGAAAGAAGGGTTGTACTTGTATATATAAGGGTATGACAGATCATAAATAACTTCATGAGGAGAAAAATAGAAATCTGGCCTTTGAAAGAAATCTGTGATTGAGGTTCTGGTACATGTTTATAGAGTTTGTTGAGGTAGACGACCGAAAAGGCTTTCAATCGAGAAACTGCGGGAGAGGGAGAAGCACCAACTAACTCCCAACTACAAGAATGTTCCCCACTTCTCCAGCAGTTCCGCTTTCAGTTCTGCGTCCAGCAATTTGTAATTGTGATCGGCAGAAAGAGATCTGAACGAAGCATCCTTGTCAAGAACAACTCTCTCCTGTCTATCGTCTTACCTAAACACTTCAATGGATATCGAATCCAAGAGCCGCTGTTTCAAACAATTCAGATGGTACTCTTCCGCTAGGCGGAGGGCATGCATAACCGAGATTTTGGGAAGCTGCAAAACGTTTACTTCATCTTAGACACCACCACCGACAGCAAGAATGAGGGGATGCCTCATCTGCTTCTTACACTCACTTCTTCGGAAATATATTTGACACACAGATCGAAAACGACAGGAATCTTCAATCGGTCCGACACATGAGTGACCAAATCGATGTTAACGGCTAAATCACAGGTCGTTAGTTTTCGTAGAGCTCTTACGACAAGTTACCCGAAATCGTATGAGGATGATTGAATATGTTTATGACAGCCCGGAAATCATTAGCGTCGACGTCAAGAGAGATTTCACCAGTCGCTTTAAGATTATAAGCACTAAAGAAGGTTTGGAAAGAGCCGAAATCGTTGGAAATGGAGTTTCGCGAGACGATATATCGTTTTCCTTTTAGTGACAAAGTAACTTCTTCGGGAATGGGAAAGAATACGGCACTAAAATGGAAATTATGTGTCAAGCGAAGATCAGATGTTTCATCGAACTGACCCTTCATCAATAACTACCTTCGTCTGGCAGCTCTCACGCTTGTGACGATCAAGGTTCCATTCCGAAGAGTAGAACTTGCCGCATGCCTGAACATACATGTCGGATGAAAAATTTACTTTTTCAGAAAACTATTGAAGTTGATTATTCATAATAAAAGAAAACACGTTGATCTACAAAATATTTGTTTTATCCGTACTTAAACAGACTCTTAACACCAGTTTCATTTGATAAAAAAGGTTAAACTCAAGAAACAGATGTTGGGATAGAGCAAAAGAGAGTGAGAGAAAGGGTGGGAGAGAGAGGAAGAAAGCGAGAGAGAGAGAGAGTGAGGGAGAGAGAGAGAGAGAGGGAGAGAGAGAGAAAGAGAGAGAGAACAAGAAGAAATACACGTCCGAATCAGAGACCAGCAGATGGAATAGATTTACAATGATCGTACAAAACACAAAACCAAAACAAGAAAAGATCATGACTATCAACAGAAGCTATCTATCATAAACTATGTATCAGTAGACTATGTAATATAACCTATGAGAATGATGGAGGAAACTGACCCGGAAAACTTGGAGTCAAAAAAAAAATAAAAAGAGAGGTAGATACGGGAAAGCTTCAGCTTCAATGGAAAACAAAATTAGAATTATAAAAATATCTACAAATTATGATGGAATCGGTGATGTAAAACATTAATTGGTTAACTGTGTGCCATTGACTGGGGGTTGACTATTAGATAATGGACTATGACTAGTAAAATCAGTACAACACAACACAATATCACATAAAGCTTCACAGCTCGTGAAGAACTTTATAGGAGGATGAGCTGCTGAACCAATCAGCAATGGCTGGAAGGTGAAAGCTGGGCGATAAACCGCACGAATTCGTCTCAGTGGATGATGTGGATGAGGAACTGGCCGTTTTTAGTCCTGCTAGAGCGATAGAAAAGGACATGCAATCCGGTGTTGTTAGATCCATAGCATCAGATATGATAGCGGAAGGCTGAGTCAGCTGGTGATTGGAAGCCTTAGATTGCGGAACTGGCGGTGAGGACCACAAGTAAGTGTTGCTGCTATCGTCGTTAGCGGGTCGCTTGGAAGCCGCTTCATGCTGATGAGCAGCGGAATTGGTAGTAGTTCCAGGTCTCCACTGAACACAATAACATCAAACTCACAACTATGATTTTTTAATATTTTATGTCACAAGCACTGATGAAAGGGGTTTGAAGCGTGCAGTCAAACGGAAAAAGTGAAGCTAAATGTTAAGAGAAGAGAGATTTTTCAAACGTTCTAGTCAGTTTTCTACGAAATCAACAAAAACTAAGCTAAATAAATGATGCAAAACAGGCAAAGATCATCAACGGCGAATTTTTCTTATTAAGTTTTTCAACGAGGGTAGATTTCTCGATCTTTGTTATGTTAACGTACCTGACATAAATGACGAGCTTGTTTAGGATCACTCGAGACGTATCCGGTCGCACCATTAGAGCTGCTTCCTGAAGATGTCCTGTTCCGAGTCATGGGTAAGAGCATTGTTGAATTCCCTTGATCAGGATGGCCTGGAGACGTGGATCTATCGACACAGACGAATTTCAATCTAAATCAGCTCAGTTACTTCGTTTCAAATTTCAAATTTATCACCTCTGGCTGGTTGTACTATCAGGGGTATCTTCGGTATTTCGAAACCAATCATCATCAGCCCTTGAAAGGCTATTCAGAACATTATGACCGAGTAGAGGATCGTCAGAGTTCATTCCCTTCTAGAATACAAAAATTGTTTTACAAGTTTGTTCAGCTGCATTCTTACATTCTTGAAATTCTCATTAAATAATGACGACGGAGCTGTACCACTACTTCGTTCATTGCTCACGCTATTATACTGTTGTGGGCGTCGGCCATATTCAGATGAAGCTACCCTGAAACAAAACCGTAGACAGATTGACTATAAATGTTCCGAACCTGTTAGTACAATCTGTAGAATATTGGCGTCGCTGCCTGAGGGCAGGACTCGAGTTTTCTGATCTCGTTGCATTCAATGGAGGAATATCTACGGTCAGGGCTGAATAAATACATTGAAAATACAACTTTAGTCTTTGTCTCACGTTTAGAAGAGTCTATCCATGTCGAAATTGAAGGTAATGATTGAGCATTGGAGCTTGCTTCCCCGCCATACGAAGAGCTAACATGAACACCGGGTGATGAATGATGAGATCGCACCAAACTGCTGGAAAATAATTTTACATTTTGACACAATTTTTGAATTCTTACTGTTCTGCTTCCTCACTGAAAGTTGTATCAGCCTCGGCTAGTTCCGTTCTAGGCCTTTTTTCTAGGTACTCGCCAACTTCCTGTTCTGCACTACGTTTGAGCTCAGCTGCGATCCTAGCCGTTTCAGCTGTTTCTTCATCATACTCTGAAGATCGACCCCAGGCATTATTGTCATCATCTTCGGGATAAGGCTGGAAGAAATGAATTAACAATTGTAAAACCAAGAGATTAATACCTTCATAGTGAATGTCACACTCATAGGCTTATCATTCAATGGGGACAATGGAATCATTTCAGTTTGGTACTCATATTTAGTACTAATCTTCTGAGGCTTTACTGGAATACGAGTCCCTGCGGCTAAGGTTGTAGCTGCTACAGTTGATAGCGTAGCTAATTTGTTAGGCACTTGAACTGCTGAGGTGCAAGGAACAGCGGGAAACTGACTGACTTCTTCCGCTGTCAACTTGTGTACTGCCATTCGATGTCTTTTGACATTTTTTCGACAAGAATAACTAAAAAGTCATCTTTAATGAGATATTCAAAGTCTTCAACTCACTTTTTCTTGCATTCTGGACATTGGAAGTCGTGGCCAGGATAAGCGGCACGATGAATAGTTCTATTGTCCGGTAATATCATAGGTTCTGCTAAGCCAGCTAATCGTTCACTGAAAATGAAAGAAGATTATTAATAATACTGATGTGGAGATAGAATGCAGCCGATTTGTGCGAAAAGAAGCTGAACGTTTCAGTTGAGCAATGAAATTATGAGTGAAATTAAAATAATTATAGACCAAAGAATAGCAAACTCACTCGCTGAGTGGTTGAGTCGTAATGATACTTTCTAGTGGTTTTTTCTTTCCAGCGCTTTCACCATTCAAAGGAACTTGAGCAATTTTCCTATAAAACAATTGGTTTGTTCAAAAAAAGAAGAATGCTCAGAGTGCACTCACCATTTTTTTGTTTGATCAGTGCTTCTGACTACGTCATCCTTTTTATTGTTATTTTTCTTTGATGCATCAATCGAAACCTGGAACATGAAACTGAATGGAACGCAGGAGAAAAAAATTATAATACTTTTTCTGTATTCAGACGATTATTTTTCGGGCTGTTGGTTGTTGTGTCACCGTACGCATCTGATTTTGGCTTAGCCACAATAACTGGTCGCATGCTCTGAAAATGATATAGTTAATTAAAAGAACTGATGAGGAAGTAACTTACATCCAACTTGTAGTAGGTTACTCGAGCTGAAAAAAACTAATTAGATAATTCCAAATCATAGGAACTTACCGTTACTCGCTTTGGCGTTGTTATTATTAGAGTTGCTAGCGTTGACGTTACCGTTGTTATTGATATTAATATTATTATTATTATTATTGTTGTTGATGGTAGTGTTAAGATTATTATTTTTGTTGTTTCTGCTCTTGGCAGTGGCAGCTCGTAGATTACTGCTTGATATCGCAACTTGGGAAGACGTGATATTGTTCAATCCAGTTGTAGTACTAACAGCATTGTTCGGTTGTTTGGAACCGCTTGTTTGTTTCGGAATGCTACCGTTCGTGAGCAAGGTAACTGCACAGCTTGTGCTGGCGTTAGCTATACAAGAAGTTGGACTTCCAGCCGATTCAACGTCTCTAGAGTTGTTATCGCCCAATTTAGCTTTATGATGTTGAGCACGTAGATGCTCTCCAACAGTTATCTGAAAAACAAACATAGTTAGTAAAAGATTGAGTGGTGTCGCATACCCATGGCTTCTGTTGTAACTCAGGATCGTTGAGCAATATGTTCGCGGCCGCTGTAGCTTGTGACTGTCGAGTAACTCTCTGGAAACAGAATAAGCAAACTCAAAGTGCATTCCATCTAGATACCTGTTCTGCAAAACGAGTTGAGCTGTTCCGTGTCACCGTCTGTTGAGGCACATCTTTTTCGTCTGTAGAAGACGGAGGAGTCGATGGGGAAGAACAGCGTGAAGTGGCACCGAGTCGAGAACTAAACAATCACATATTATAAGACATTAAAGTTAAAATAACGCTCACTTTTGAAGAGCAGCCTTGCATGTAGCTCGATGGCGTTTCAAGTTACTAGCTGAACAAAGCTGTCGACTACAATCAACACAAACATTAGTTCCGGAACTGAAAAAATAGGTTTGCACGGAACTGTTGAAAGCCTTTCTCTAGGAATTTATAAGTGCTATGATGATCAAGAAAACATTCTAAGAATCAACCACAAAGCACTAAGCACAAAACTAATGAACACACCCGTCAGTAACAGCAGCAATAACGTCGCTAGCTGAACTGCCACTATCAGATACTGAAGACGACGAAGATGATAAGGCGGATAAGGATGAGGTTGACGTAGAAGGCATCATGAGCACTTCGTCATCGCGGGATGTCACAGGCCAGTTCATGCTTTCAAGCGAGGCAACTTCATTTTCTTTGTCCGATCCAGCTTTGGGTTTTCTGCGAGACTTCACCTTGGGCTTTGAACTAAAAAAACAACAAGCAAACACAACGAAATTACAACAATCATATCAAGAAGGCCATATATAAAGATGATGAATATTTTACGTACTCGTTTTCAGGGGGACCATGATCGGCAATAAATTGCTTGCAGGTGGTAAAGTGCCTTTTGAGACTTCGTAACGAACAAACTGACTTCTTGCATGAACCACATCTGCAAATTGCTTCACTAAGTGGTGTGCAGAATAACGGATACGAATATTTAGAACACCATATAAGAACGAATGTAACGATATTCATATTTCGTTTTAAAAAATATGTTTAAACTTTAATATTCAGTCAACCACACCACAACTGGTGCGAATTATTCTGAAAATGTGGACAGCGTTCTTGCCACGTGAGCCACGTGCGAGTTCACGTGAACTGCGCGGGAAATGCATATTCAAATTTAGGTTTAGATGTTGAGACATTGAAAGCTTAAGCTGCGTCATTATCATGCATTTTCGAATGTTTTGTTTTCAAATAATTTAAAATAGAACATACGTGTGCAATCCTTGAGATGCTGAGTTGCCGCCTGAGTTGGAACTACAGTGGGAAGCGCTACTTGAATGAGTGCGAGATTCATCAGTTTCTAGCGATAAAGGAGGTAAGCAATTATCGGAAACATGGCTGCAATTAGAATGAGTTGAACAGGAAATAGCTGATCAGCAGACAAACCTAGCAGTTTCTATGCCGAGGGATTCAGAATTGTCTAATGGGGACGTCAGATGATCTGCCTGTGAACTTTGAACTGGAGAATAACTCTCCGTGCTACACCAGTCGTTCATCTGAAAAAGGAAGGCAATGAAGGAATCTTAATCAAGTAGTCTCTTACCTCTGAAACCATATTGTAACCTCCTATGTTCTGTGAGAATGTATCGACACCAGGTAAAGCCACTAAAGGAGGAGTTTGTATGTCTGTGTCGATCATAATATTCGAACTCGACTCATCTTCCCTTACAGGAGAAGCTTCTTGAGAGAATCGTTTGTTACAAGAAGATTGTCGATGACGCTGAAAGGTAATGATCAGCTCGACGTATGATGTGGGGGAATCCATGGCGCTGACACATACACATGCACCCGCACCTAGTAAGAGAGAGGGAAACTGCCCAACCGGCTCATAAATTTTCAATAAAATCGTAATTTTTTTATGGTAAAAACGTAGTTTACGAATTTATCGATTTTTTTAATTAAACGAACATCACGTGAAACTCTCGGACTGGTTTGAAATCTCTACCGAACTTTCCGAGAAGGCATTTGTATTGAATGGAAAGGGAATCAAATAATCTAATAAACATTTGAGAATGTGATCAATTACATTCCATATCTGGTAACCAAGGAAACAAAGCATCTGAACTCCTGTTCTGTTCCTTTCAGGTTTCCCTCCCCGCTATGACAAACTCAATCACTTTCTCGGAAATGCTAGACTACAGACTCAAAATCAAGTTACCTGGAGATTTCTTTGACTTGTCATTCCTTTGCCACACTCGGGACAATTGAAAAAAGCTTTGGTGGTGGGAATAATGCCATTTCTGGAGAAAAGACTGTAAAAGAGCGACGACGTAAGAGAAACAAACTTGATCTGAGCTTCTTGTATCAAGCGCTGTTGTTTGGTAGCAGACATTATTTGCGAAACATTTCTAAAAAAGGCAATGAAATGACAAAAGCGGCTGTTGGCTTCTCTACCTAGCAACTTCGTCTTCAAGTCTTTGCGGATCTAGAGTTTCTTTCTTGTTTGCAGCAGTTCGACTTTGAGCTCTTCGTGTAGACTTCACCCTGCAACATCATTATTATGAAAAGTGTTTCCTTGAAGCGCTACTAGACTCACGTTATGATAGTTCGAGCAGGTGCATATTGGGTGCAGGTGGCTGGGTTTGCTGTCTTAACCGGATAAGTTGGAACACGTCTGAAGATAACATTTCCTTTTCAAAATATATATAATTTATGTAATTGGTTTTAATGAACACTTTGTATTTGGCTGATATTAGAAACGATGGCTTACCTTTGCGATGGAGGCGGCAATTGTGAGTCAAATCTGGTCGAATTATCGAATTTCGATTGCGCAGACGATGCTGAAACTAGTAGAGTAGGATGACAACAGTAAAATAAAAAAAAAGATAAATTTAGGAGCGAGGAAACGTGACACAGACACACATACACACACACACACACAAATGAGGTACCAGAAAGGATAGTTTGCAATCGAAAGTTGAAAAGCAGACTGGGAGGTGAACGACAGCTTTTTTTTCGCAGATCACCCGCAAAAAGTTATAAAACAAAAAAAATTTGTTTGAGAAGACGAATTCTCAGTGACTAAGTGATTTTATCACTTTTTATCAACGACATTATATTGATCTGTGTTTTAAAATAAAAATAAAAGTAAAATTTGTAAGAAAACATGATAAGCTTATGAGATGCCATAAAAGGGATTGTAGAAGAGAACAGGCTTATCGCCTTGCCTTTTCATCCGAACTAATGAAATTTCTGATGAAACAAACGGATCGGAAGCTTTCTGGAGAGAAATGAAAGGAATGATAGATAGATAAAGAGAGAGAGAGAGAGAGAGAAGAGACACATTTATAAAAGAGATGGACTTACAGGTTTGTTGAGCAGCAGAGGAATATGAAGGCTTGGCTGTCTGGCTTGAAGTTGAAGATTCAAAAGAAGTCGTTGATGAAGATGAAGTAGTGGATGAATTTGTTGAATAAGAAGATGGATGAGAGCCTGTAACACATATATTTTGGAAAACAAAAATGTTTGTTCATCCAACATGGAAGTTGAAATTGAATTATGGGATGACAGAGTGTTAACTCAGTCGATAACAAACTTATTAGTATATTTGTCCTTTTTAGGAGAAAAAGAGATAAGACAAACAGTTTGTGTTGTTACGAAAGATGATGAGAAAAACGAACCGTTATAGTCTTCGTATGAGTTTAAGCCACCGAAACTTCTAGGATCAAGATAAGAATCTGTAAGCAGAGCAGGTTTCATAAGTTATTAGGCGTGTGCTCGAAGTTTCATGACAACTCGGATAGGGATTATCACTCGACTGTCTTCTTACTTCCGCATATGAATGTAAGAAGAGAACACATCTTAACGGCTTACCTGCTACATCATGGTGGCTCATCTCTATTGTCATAACGTCATGCATTGTGGCTTCCATGATGGAACTCGATAAAGCGCCGTTGCCATATGTTGTAGCACCTGAAGAAGCAGAGTAGCACGTGTATTGAAACATCAGTAAGCCGTACCGTAATCATCTAAGGAAGCTCTTCGTGTCGAGACTTCCTCCATTACCAAATATCGCTAATGGAATGGCGCATTTATGCTGAAGAAGTCAAAGGTTAGATAGAGAGAGAGAGTGAATATTTCAACGAAACAATGAAGACGACGAAACGAAGAAGTACGAGAATGCAAGAAATTCCTACTAATCAGCAGGTTAGAAGGTTACTCTGTCTATATATGGCTCTCTCAATTGAAAACTGATAAACGAGCTGATTATAGAAGAAAAGCAAAAAAACAAAATGACAACTGCAAGGCGAGAACGATAAAATGAAAAAGGAAAACAAAGAAATTTGATATTTCACAGAAAGAAAGAGTATTCTGTAAATCATTGCATTAATTCCCTCCACCCCATATTTTACTTTTTTCTTTTCACAGCACAGCTTTGTGCGAGTATTCGAAGGGAAAGCCATTATGGCCTTTAACGAGCAAAATGGATTATCGTCAATGTCAAAATTCATAAATAATATTGTTAGTGAATGAGTTAAGAGTTGATAAGCTGTTTCCTTCCGACTCCATCACATGCACACATACAAACGAACTCCTAATTAATAATGAAAGGTGCGAGTAATTGCAATTGAACAGCTAATACAATCGGAGCAACCATGGGGAACTTTGGTGATGATGGTGAGTTACGGTTCCTCTCGTTTCTCAACTTCTTCACACCCGCCTTCTATCTCTCTATCTCTCTTTTTCTCTTTTTTAAGATGAAGTCATGTATGATGAAAACGGATTTGATATGAAAGTAGATTGTATTTCGAGAAGCGTTGCCTCGCAACCCGTTGCCGTCAATCTATTTGATCATTGTGAAATCGAAAACGAAATGAACACTACGGCAGATAAGAAAATCCGAGAAATAAGAAATGTTTTTTTACTTCAAGCATGAAGTTCGTTAATGACTTCATAACGAACGACTCAAATGCTAATGAGATGAATGAATGATTAGGAGACGGAAGAGATGGAGATACTACAAACGCATTGAGAGAGAGAGAGAGTGAAAGAGGAGGGATGAATGCCAAGTTATGGAAAGTTAGATGATCGTGTTTTATAGATTTGCAGGAACTCGAGATGAAGTAGAAGGAGGAAGATGCTGGATGCCATTTAAGCTTCTTCTTCTTCTTCCATCATCAGCATAGAAGTGGCTATTAATCTAAGGAAGAAGGTTAAAGAGAGACAGAGAGATAGAGTTAGAGAGAATTAGAGAAGAAGAGAGAGAGAAAGAGATTATTCAACAACTAATAATTCAAATAGAATTTATAAAGAACAAATGATGGATGAATATCCATTTCCATATATATTCTATCATATAGTTTAAGCTGTTAATAATACTGCTATACAGGATCACTTGGTCATCTATCTATAGAAGATATGAGATGAATAAGCATTTGACGTTAATTTTATATAATTAAAAGCTGTCGATAATCAATGGCATTCTCTTTGTATTTTCAAGAAATAATAGTTTGCCAATCCGTTCTCATGGAATCATTAAATAAAAATATAAAACAAAGGGAGAGAAGAAGAAAAACAGAGAGAGAGACGATAGAGAGAGAATAAGAAGAAAAAAGAAGAATAAAGATGAGAGAGAGAGAAAGAGAGAGAGAGAAAATAATGCAACCGCTCATTAGTTCTGCTATACATGAAATGCTTCATTGAGCATTTACGTGACTCACGTGAAACCTCTAGCAGTGGTTAAGTAACCCCCGTGTGCTCTCATTAGAATATTCTAATTCGTAAATTCAAAGCCGGCGTCATGGCAATGACAAATAAAAACATTAAAATTCTTCTTAATATAAATATATTTTAACATTCGTTTGGCAAAGAGAGGGAGAGTGTGAGTGAGGAATGTATCTGTCTTCACACAGCCATATATAGCTCGTTTCATCAGATTTCACAGATAGCTCTCATATAAGCAATGGCAGTAATGTCAGCCTGGCCTAGCCAGGCAGTCATGTAAAACGGTCAAGACACGCAAACAAACGAAAAAAAAGAAAAAAAAAATTCCAAAGAAAGTGAGTGACTCGGATGAAAGATTATCGATTAACTTTTCGATTTATAAATAATATAATGTAAATAATACAATTGAATATTCAAATTTTCGACATTCTCATGCCACGTCGTTGTTTTTAAACAAGAAAATATCTTCTTTGATCGAAAGCTTTCTCCTATTATAGAGGTAAGATGGCTTAAAGATGAAGCTCATATAATCTTTCACTAGATGAGCTTCATTAGCTAGTAAATGATGGCTTTTCTATGACAACTTCATCCAGCTTGCTTGTGTCTTCCAGTCTCCTCTCTTCGTACATCGCAGCTACACTATCATCGTCATTTTAACTTCTTTTAAACTTTTGATAATATTTTTCTTTTTGCAAATAGAGAATTTACAAATGTATTCATTCGTAATCTAAATATTACAAATCGATGAATTCATAGATGGTGTTGCGAAGCAGAGAATCCAGAAGGTTGCTAAGCTGGAAGCATGAATGAAAGCTAAAAGTTTCAAACCTAGCGTGATTACGGATAATCGCTCTCATATTCGGAACAGAGAAAGCAGCTTGCCAAGACAACATGCGAAAAGCGACAGAACGAAACATACAGAAACAAGGAAGCGAACACAACACTATTAAAACATGTGTGTATGTGTTTGTAAAACTGCCTGCCAAACTTGTAGCCCACAATGGAATTAGCGGAGGTGGGCTTCTTTCTCATTTTCTCACTTCATTCGTTTCCAAAATTCGCAACGAGGAAAAATGATTATTTGATTTCGTATAATCATTCCCATCTAATTTACAATTTAAGCGTTTTCTTGTCAATGCGGCAGCTTCCTCTTTTCGGCTTCTCATCATCTTGCTCGAACATCGTAAATTTCAATGATGGAATGAGGCATGTTAAAAGAATTCGCATCTCTTCGTCTTGCTGTCTGTCTCAAAACGATTTGAAGAGGAAGTATGTTGTGGAAGGCTCCATCTGACTTTCTTTTTTCTCTTTCTGTTTTATCAATCTGCCATTTCAGTTTATATGGGCAAAAAAAAAAGAACAGAAAAAACCATCTGCCGAACGAACGTCGCCATAGATAGCTCGCGGGTTAGCTTGACTGACTGACTCGTCTGGTCAAAGAAACAACATACAATCCAAAAATTTAATTAGAGTCAGAAGCTTGCTGATGCTATTTGCTGATATTTCTGGCTTTCGAAGCAACACGCAGCATGCACATAAATATCTCCAAAATATATATTGAGTTGGATCTAATTGCGATCAACAGCGACAGGGAGACAGACAGAGAGGGAGGGAGAGAGAGGGCAGGAGGACGCAATAAGAAAATGAGAAACGGCAAGCTACGCAATTAAATTTCGTAACGACGGCTTTGTTCGCTCGTTTACATTCCGAAATTTTCTTAATTTCGTTAAATGCCATCATACCAACTTGACAATCATCTTAACATTCATCATATAAACAGAGCGAGGGGGGGGGGGAGAATTGATGAAGAAGGAGAGAAGGTGGTAGAGAGAGAGGGAGTTAGAGAGTAAAAGCAAATTTCACATCTGATAAATAGAAAGAATGGTCTCGAACACAAAGCATATAATTTGGAGAAAGCGTACGACCTATCAAACTCTTCAAAATAAAAAAGAAAAATGAAATTGATGCGAGTTGATTTGCAATAACAAATGAAGTGCATTTCTGAAATATTTCGAACTCGATATGGTGAAATGATTTCGAATTAGACCTTTAAATTTGAATTTTGAATGTGCGCAGTTACTTAATTGAGGGAGAGAGGGAGGGAATGCAAGAGAGAGAGAGAGAGGGAAGGAGATGGTTGCAAGTGATGAAGAAGAGTAGAAAGGGAAGGAGGGAGAGAGAGATTTATCTATATTTTATCTAAGAAAAACACAGAACTCGACGTAAATAATGATATCTGATGGGAAATGAAAAAGAAAAAATGGCTTATTTGGAAATCAGAAAGCGTGGGTAAATGAGCTTTCTCACTTGAGTAGTTTCTCTACCTATTATGGTAATGAAATGTAAGATATGTGGTCATTTGAAATGTTAGCAGAGAGAGGGAGGGACAGATAGAGAGAGAGAGAGAGAGGAATGTGCAATGTAATTCATATTATGAAATGTAAGATTATGACGTTGTGACGAATGAAGAGAGCAAATATGGAAAAAATGATTGTAAAGTTTCAAAGACGAAGATGTTTCAAACTGCGAGAAGTAGGAGAAGGAGAAGATGAAGGAAGAATAAGATGAAGATGGATGGATGAAGTGCATGAGAACTGAAGAATTGAAAGAAGATGACAAAAAAAGAATAAACTTTAAAAATTGTTAGAATTCGAAGCAAATGTGAAGAAGGTTCACTGAGAGAGAATGCAACACGAGGAGACTCCGGCAAAAACGGGGACGAGAAGTGGTGATGCTGAAGCACGTAAACCTCATGTTGGATATCGGATTACTTTGGTTTTGAAGCTCACAATGAAAATCATCAGAGGGTGAACTTCGAAGTCTTTCATTCCCTTTTAACGAGAATGAAAGCGACAATGTTCAGAGAAGAAGAAGAAGAAGAAGAAGAAGCAGCAGCAGAAGAAGAAGAAGACAACGATGACAAAAAAAAAGTTTTCTTCACCAACAAAACTTCGAGAGAAAGATAGAAGTAGAGAGGAAGAGAGTAGGAGAGGGTGAGAGAGAGATGTTCATTGAAAACTTGATGCAGCTTGAGGATTTACCAGCTTAAAAAAACTTGTCAGAAACAGGGAAAAGTATTGTCAACTTAGTACTTCCTAACAGAACAAAAAAAAAGAGGAAAAAGAAAGAGAGAGGGAAGGAAAAGGAGAAATTAACATTTCGAGGTGACATGAGGGTTGTCATCGAACTCTCAAACGAGCCTTGAAAACGAAAGTGTTGATGTGTGAGATAAAAATGAAATTGAATAGAAAAACGAAGAAGAAGAAGAAGAAAATGAAGAAAAAAATGTGTGTGTGTATGTGTGTGTGTGTGTGAAGTTCATTATTCTCATTGAGAGA